ACTTTCCTACTAGTCATTAATAGATTGCTGCGAATCCAAGGCACTGGGTATATGTTGATTGCAAGCCCTTCCTTCCTCCTGGAATCTAAACACACATACCATCTTTGTCTACAGATCTGAATCCTGCTTTGACCACAAGCCCTAAGTCAAGAATGCTATCCTACAGGCCTTTCCGTTCAGTGTATTTCTCAACTTCCTCCATATCCAAAGCCCATACCTATGCTTTCGGTCCAGGGACTAAGGGCCCCTGCATTGGGTTTCAGACTTTAGAGAGCCTGCCTCTGATGCCCCCTAGCTATGGTGCTTCCTATGGGATAAAGGGGCCATAGAACTAAGGTGATGCCCTTGCCTGGAGTCTGCATTTTCCCCTCCAGATGATTCTCTGGAGCCCAGAATCACCTGCTCCAAATGGCTTCACAGCTACTCTCATGACCTTGAGTTCTGCTTCCTGAGTTGATGCTTTCAAGGGCAAACCATATCAAAGGTGTGTGTCCCCAAAAAAGTAGCACTTTGAATACACGTAATGAAGTGTCCCTATCTGTAGATCTGGTCCTTCAAGATGTGCAACAAGGGGGAGTGGAAAGAAAGAGAGGAGCAGTCAATGGTCAGACCCAGCTCTCCAGGCCACTGTAGTATACCACTCGCACCCATCAGTGGGCATTGAGAACATTTCCCCAGTTTACCATATCACACTTATGTTAGATGTGGGGTTTGGAGCACCCTGAATTAAAGGTGTGTTTCACTTTAATGTAGTGTGCAAAATTAGCAGAAAGGGTTATAATAGGATTTACAACAAGAGGGTAAATATGCTTCATGAGATGTAATCTCATATATGAGATGTTATCCTAATAATGATTTGGGGAGATCTTATTGTCTCCCTTTAATAATTCGGAAACACATGCTGACGAAAGCCAAGTTTTGCCCTGTTCCTACAAGAGGGTAGGGATAGCATCCTCATGACCCCTCAGATATCCTCTTCTTACTAGCTTCTCCTGGGTCCAATTCAGACACTCTCTGGTACATCCACACCACAGTATTCTTTAAGGAAAAACAACAAGTGGATGGTTTACTATCTGCACATCTATGGCTATTGAGAGTTAATTTTGCAAAACTGCAAAAATTGATGTCACAGACTGAGAAGAAGAGTACCTGGTTACCCACACCTGGCTAGATAGAAAGTCTCCAAATCTTGGCACAAGCTAGTTCAGGGCAGGGGGGTATTGTTTGCTCTAGGGTGGGGGACTAGGAGCTCCAACGACCTTCGACCTTCGTACATTTTGACTTTATAGCACTGAGCATTCTCAATTGCTTTTCTTCCTGATAATACTTCGTCCCCCATCAATCACGGAACAGAATTTAGTGAAAAAACCCTCATTCCTGGTATAAAGTTAACAATATAAAACTAAAACTATAAATCCCTCGAGTGGTTGGGATTTCTGAAGAATAGATATCATATGCATCTTTGATGCAAGAATCACAGGGAATTGCAGTCCAGGATCCCCAGCAGGTGAGGGAAGGAGTGAATCCCAGAAAACAAGTGAGGTAGTTATTAGAGTGAACTCAGACAGGGTCCTCTGCTTTCCTCTCCCTTCTCCCAGTATGCTTCTCCTACAACACCAGATTCAGCTAGGGAAGAGCACACAATGGTTTACATATTTTAAATACTATTAAAGTCAAATCAACTAATATTAAGATGTAATCAAAGGTGACAGGCATGGGCATTAGCCATACAAGTGAGAAGGAAATCTAAATATTAGAACTTCAATGAAGCAAGACTTGTGAGCCTCCTTTGGGTATTCCTTCAAGCCTTGAGAACTGTTCTTATAAGATAATGTCCTTTGGGAAGGTAATAATAATAATAAACTATTGAAAGGAGAAAGTTCAAGTCCATAGCATCATCTCTTTATTACTAAGTTTAAGGAAATTTAGTAAATGCTTAAGAAAAGTGTGTTTTTCTGCATCAATAAAGATGCAAGGATATGATAAAGGAGTGGAAACAAGAATGGAGATAATTCAAATATATTCACAATATTCCAAACACACACTTTTATTCAAATGTAAACAGGACATGAGATTTACCAAAAATCAAAGTAACAGGAGTGGTGTCTGAGCTTTTCATATTCCAATTAATAATGAAAGAGATACAACTCTGTTTAAGCTATACATTTTCTTATGACAAAGAGTGTGTGGCACTTTAAAAACATGTATACTATTTAAGAATCTATTAAGCTATTTAAGTGGAATTATAATGCTTTTTAAATGCATTTGTCTGAATAAATAAAAGACATGATATTAATGAGGTTAAAATATGTAAACTTGATCTTGGAAGTGAAGTCTTATTACAATCAGATTTATTTAATTTCATCTAATTTTACTTCAGTATTAAAACAGCTGCAAATAGAAATTTACTCGAGTAGTCGGCATAATAATATATGTAATTTTAACACCACCTAGTCCAGGTATTAATCCAATCAAGCTGCTCAAAAGTAACTTTTTTGGCTGTTCTTCGAGCACATGGTACACTATCTCTGGCGAGTGTCAATTTTCGTTTTTTAAATAATATCATTGATGTTTATTTACTATAAACAAAAAGCACACACACTTCTTTTAAGTAAAGGGAGAACCCAATCCACTCGAGGTAAGAGGAAGGGAAAATGAAAAGATACGCAGCATGCTCACAGCTCGGAGTAATACGGTATCGGCAAGAGATTACGGTACTAGCTTGGGTTACTGCCCGCGTGACGTCACCGAGAGCTGCAAAGTTCCTTTGCTAATGTCGGGAGCTGAATATTAAAAGGGTGACTGTGGAGTTATTGGCTGGCTATATTTTACCCCCTATTTTCCCTCTATTTAAAAAACTCCAGGTGAAGTGATATCGAGCCAGGAGCTTAAAGACAACGGTGGTGAACGGTAGGGAAGGGGTGAGTCAGCGGGTGGAGAAGGACTAGAAACTGGTTCCTCGGAGACTTGGTCCCAGGGTCTCCAAGCGAGTAGCGGTAGAGTTACTCCTCCAAACGCAATCGCGGCTTGTGGCTCGGTGTCTGCGATCCAGGTGAGTGCGCGCCCGCGCGAGCGCCGGCTTCCAGAGGGCCAGATGGGTGGGGGCGAATCAGTCTCGCTCTGCGGCTGCGACCCGACCCGCACTTTCCCCTAGCGCCTTTGCCATTTCTCTCCCGCTCTCCTGCTGATCCCCTTCCCACCCGGCTTCCCTTATTTGTTCTGGAAAGTTACCTCTTGGTGAACAAGTGTGCCCTAACTCTATTTATTAGCCGGTGGTAGGGGGAAGTGGGTTTCCGCACTTGCTTCTGGTACCACCTGTGAGCTCTTCAGCTTATGATTTTCGCCTCTGCAGCGTGCGGGGCGCATCTCCACTCTGGGCTCCAGCCGAGAGTCCTTAGAAAGTGAGATAGGTGCCCGTTCCCTGCACGCCTGCTCGAGCCGTGTGGTCGCTCGCCGGGTGAAGACCTAGATTGCACTTGCAGGCCCCCAGTCCAGAAAATCCGAGGCGTCCCCGGCCCGCCGCTGGTGGGCTTGATTTTTATGCCTACAAAATCCGCAGTGGCAGCCAGTCGCAAAGCCCCTTCTGCAGAGCGATGACCCACCCCACCCCCCACCACCCCACCACACACACGCACACACACACCCTCTTGCCCACCGGCCTGGTGTGCCTCGAAACGCGAGTCCTTCGGAAAGAAACCCCGATCGACCCAGGTCGTAGTCGCCCCTGGGGACCCGCCGGGCACTACTCGGGACCTGGCTTTCAGGCCCGCTTGGCAGGGGTGGGGGGACCGCCCGGTGCGCTCCGCACACCTTAGTGTGGATTCCTCCCGCGTGAGCGAGCGCGTGGGACTGACCGGCCCTGCGACCCCCGGGTGGCGGCGGTTTTCTCGCCCAGGTCGCCCCCTCCAGGTAACTGCGAAGCAACCTGTGCCAATGGCCACCGGGAGGATCCTCCGGTTTCCACCGGCTCGACTCGGTGTGACACACACGTCAGCCGCAGTCGCGCCTCGCTGACTTCGGGGATTTTAATTTCGCTGCACAGCCGCTTGCAGTCGGATCGCCCAGAGCTGCAGTGGGAGGGCGTCCGTTTGGGCCCTCGAACCCGCGCCGCGGGCGGTCTGCAGAGCGCGCCCCGCCTGGTTCCGCGAGCCCCGAGCACCGGGCGCGGCCCCCTCCCGCGTGGGCTCTGCGGCGGCGCCGCGGGAGCGTCCGGGACCGCAGAGGCGCGGGGGCTGGCATCCAGGTCCCACGGCCCGTCGAGCCGGCACTGCCCGCTCGCAGAGCTTCCGGCTCACGCCTCGCCTTTCTCTTTGCGCTTTTTCAGGAGGACGCACGCAAATCACCCACCCTCGTCCCCTGGCTTGCGCGCCTTGAAGCTGCATCTCGCTGGACTTAACCGCTGGCGGGTCACACTGTGCGATCACACTGTGGGAAAATGCCGGCCCGGAGAGTGCCCAGATGCCAACTGCCCCTGCCTTTGAGCATCGACCGTAGACTGGTACTTGGCTTTGGTGTCGGGGGAAGACTAGTGCTGGAGTTTTGAACTCTAAATTATGTGCAGGATTTTGACTATTCTAGCCAGAACTGATCAAATAGTGCAGAACCGCAGACTCCGGTAATCCTGGGATTGCATTTTGCAACGTGTCTCCTCGAGTTTAGCACCAAGCCTCGGGTGGGAGGGAGTTCCCCCGCCCCGGGAGTCCCTCCTCTCCCGCCCCCACCTCGGGGCCAGCGCAGCGGCTGGTGAGGGTCCGCAGGCAGCCCCGCGCGGCTCTGGTCATGTCGCATTTGCTATCCGGCCCCTCTCCGCGGCCATCTGAGGGTTTCCCGGGCAGGCTGGGGTTGCGTCCCACCCGCGCGCTCTCTCTCGCCCCCCAGCCAACCCAGCGGGCGAGGTTCCTCCGAGCGGAGACCTTTTGACTCCTAGCCTTGTCGCTCCCGCCTCCGCCCCCGCCCGGGGGTGGCCCTTGAGAGCCGGACCTCGCCCGGCCAGGGCCGGGACCATGGTGCTTCTCTCCGGCAATGCCTCTGACAGCTCCAACTGCACCCACCCGCCGACGCCGGTGAACATTTCCAAGGCCATTCTGCTTGGGGTGATCTTGGGGGGACTCATCATTTTCGGAGTGCTGGGCAACATCTTAGTGATCCTGTCCGTGGTCTGTCACCGGCATCTGCACTCGGTCACTCACTACTACATCGTCAACCTGGCCGTGGCCGACCTTATGCTCACCTCCACCGTGCTGCCCTTCTCGGCTATCTTCGAGATCCTGGGCTACTGGGCCTTTGGCAGGGTTTTCTGCAATATCTGGGCGGCGGTGGACGTCCTCTGCTGCACAGCGTCCATCATGGGTCTCTGCATCATCTCCATCGACCGCTACATTGGCGTGAGCTACCCGCTGCGCTACCCCACCATCGTCACCCAGAAGAGGGGCCTCATGGCGCTGCTGTGCGTCTGGGCATTCTCCTTGGTCATCTCCATCGGGCCTCTGTTTGGCTGGAGGCAGCCGGCCCCCGAGGATGAGACCATCTGCCAGATCAACGAGGAGCCCGGCTACGTGCTTTTTTCGGCCCTGGGCTCCTTCTACGTGCCCCTGGCCATCATCCTGGTCATGTACTGCCGGGTCTACGTGGTGGCCAAGAGGGAGAGCCGGGGCCTCAAGTACGGCCTCAAGACCGACAAGTCGGATTCCGAGCAAGTGACGCTCCGTATCCATCGGAAAAATGTCCCGGCTGTAGGCAGCGGGGTGCCCAGCTCCAAGAACAAGACCCACTTCTCAGTGAGGCTCCTCAAGTTTTCCCGGGAGAAGAAAGCAGCCAAAACTCTGGGCATCGTGGTGGGCTGCTTCGTCCTCTGCTGGCTGCCTTTTTTCTTAGTGATGCCCATTGGTAAGTCTCTGTAACACTTCATCTAAACTCCTACTTTCTCCACCCTCTTGCCCTTCTACCACCCACACTCACAGCACAGCCCAGCCCGGTGGAAGAAGAGGATCTGCATTTCAAACAGCAAAGCTCTGAGGGCAGTTAGGGGACACTCTGCTCCCTCGAGGTGAATTTCCGTCCCCTTTCTACTGTCTTTTATGTTATGTCCAAGGGCTCTTTTCAAGGACTGTGAAGTGATTTCCAACGGATGCAGATTAATTGGTCTCCTTAATAAGAAGGTCAGTTTTTCTAAATACTTTTGAGCCGGTGGTTAATTAAAATAGATTCTTCTTTTAAATGATCCCACCAAGCACTTGGGCTGGGCTGTGGAATGCCACTTCATCTCTGTCGTGCGTGGACTGCCCAAGTTCTTGGTCTGAAAATAAGCACCATGTGTATTCTGGACAAATCTGCGTGCCTTTATTATCGGGTTAGATTATTACTAAGGGTTAGTTATAATGTGCGGCTTTTGTTCTCTATCTGTGTTAACTTTGTTGTCTGGATTCAGTTTGGAAGGAAGTATGAGCCTCTGACAAGAAACAAAATGGTTCTATGTCCAAACCAAATCTGAAAGAATTCATCATAATGTTTCCAATAAGTAGATACTTATTCTTTTTTAAAATATTAGGTATTATAGCAAATGTTACTCTCATCCAAAACCATTTAGGCAGATGCAGATGACACCGTTTGAAAATAATACAGTAATGTTACAAATCCAATTTTTGCAAAAGCCAAATTAGCTGTTGTCAAAACTAATTAGCTCATTATAGCTATCAGCAAGCTGATCCACTTGGGCTAGTCGACTATCTCTGAAAGGCCTTCCTGAGATCCCAAAATGGTTGTTTACTATTTTTGGTTTGTGAGCTCAAATATAGACCTACTAGCAAATAAAAGATCATGATAAAGTTAATGAAAGTCCATTTCTGTTGCTTTAGAGACAAATTTAAACAACATGTACTTAAAGTATCCTGATTTGCTGATCCATGCAATGGTGGCAGATTTCTTTTTTGAGAGCCAACAGTGTCCCAGATCCATGATAAGACTTTTTCCCTTATTAGTCCTCTCAACAACTCTGTGAGATATACATTCATACTCTGAAATGGCAAGCAGGGTTAAGGGGAGGGATTTTTCAGGTAACAGAATAAGAGTATAGAGTGACATAATGATGGAATGGGTGGTTAGGAAAGTCCTCTCTGAAAATGTGTCTGAAGTGAAGAGCAAGACTTGCAAAGTCTGGGAAGAAGAACTTTCTGGGCAGAAAGAACAGTGAGTACAAAGATGGGAAAGAAACTGACCTATTTGACTCAGTCAAGGAGGCCAGTATAGCTTAACTACAGGGAGTAAAAAGGAAGACAAGGTCAAAAAGAGAACAAGAGCTAGACAAGGACTAAGTAATAAGGACCTTTGAGACTAAATTTGCATAATCTGGGTTACCTCCACTATCTGAAAATAGATTGCTCCTGTGAAACCTTCCACAAGCCCAATGGTGTAAAGAAGAAATTGCCATTAATTTATATGGAAAAAACTTGGAGCATTCTCATTTCCCCAAGTAACCTACCAAATCAGAACTAATAACACATAAAACTTAAAATAGCATTAACATAAAGTAAAAGAAGGAATGTGTCCATCAGTTTCAGAGAGGGAGCTTGGGGGCCACTTTTGCATCTTGGGGCAGGCACTGCTGCTTTTGTGAAATTCCTCTTCAGATTTCTTTCTGTTAACAAAGACGGGTACTAGTATCAGTCTTTTATAAAAGCAAAATGGCAAAATCCCCAAACTTTCAAAAAGCTGGAGATGTCTACTTTCAGATTGTGATGGGAAGCCATTCTACCAAAGTGTTTTCAGCATAAGTGGGGTTAATCTGGCTGATATCTTTTTAAAATATATATATATATATATATATATATATATATATATATATATATATATATATATTTGTGCATAAAGAACTAGGGTACAGGCCAGAGGTGCAGGCGTGGTGAGAGAATTCACCAGAGACAGTGGGGAGCAGAACAGGCAGATCTAAAGCAGGTGAGACAGGAGAGGTCTGCTGTGCCATGTGGGTCACCTCCAGGGTTGGGGATCAAACCCACACTAAAGTGGCTGCTGCTAGTTTATAGTGCTGAGCCTTAACCTGTTGCACCACCAAGGAGGGCTTAATCTGACATGTATTTTTAAAGGACCATTCTAGTAGCTGGGATGAGAGTGAGCTACTTGGGGACAAAGGAGAAGACAGGGAGGCCCATTAGGAATTAGCGAAGTTGAGGGGAGATGGATTGTGATGCTTGCACTTGGGTAGGAAAGGCAGAAGTGATGAGAAATGATCGCATTCAGAACTTATTTCAAAGTTGAATGTGACAAGTTTACACATAAGGTCTAAGAAAAAGAGAGACTTTAAAGACAAATTCCAGATTCGGGGCCTAAACAACTAGATAAGTAGTAATGTATCTTACTGAAATTAGGAAAACTAGAGGGTGATGGGGGTGTAGGGGGCCAGTGGGAGAGGAATATAAGTGTTTATTTATATCGCCTATGTTGAGAAATATATTTTAGCTATCTAAGGAGAGATGCCAAGTAGTCAGCTAGAGAAAAGAATTTGGAACTAAGAAGGGAAGCTGGAGTAGATACAAACTTGAGACCCAGCAACATATTTTTAGCCACAGAAATGGAGAGATCTATATGACAGTAGGGAGGAAAAAGAAATAAAGACTGAACATTGGAGCATTCTAATATCTGGAGATCAAGAAAAGGAGACAAATCCACCAGTAAAAGAAACTGAGGATTGGCCAGGAACATAGGAGAAAATCCAGGAGACAGTGACATCTATGTTTCAAGAAGACAAGAATATTCAGCAGGAGGTGTCGATGTCAACATTACACTTGGCAATGATAGCACTTCCCTGGGAGAAGTGGAGACAAAAGCTTGCTTGCTTTTTAGGTGAGATAAGGCATACCCAGGGTGGTATGGTGAAAGTCTTATTGTTTTCCAGAAAGACCAAAGTCTGATTGTTTTTCAGAAAGACCAAAAAATGAAGAGGGGGCAACAGTGAAAATAGGCAAGTGTAAAAAGGTTTTACTAGACAATGAAGCAGAGAAACAAAAATGCATATGGCAGAATAGAAGAATTTTGAAAGAATTTTCCAAAGGGGAGGTGTAGTCTGATGGTAATAATAAATTAGAGCTATCAGTGTTGTCAACAAGGGAGAAAGTGGGGTTCAAGTGAAGGATTGGGAAATGAAAGGGAAGCGAGGTTGATAAGCAGAGGTAAATTGGTATGGAGAGGGAGAAATAAAGATCTCTTTGGAAGATATTTTTGTCTTCAACGAAATAAGAAGTAAGATCATCAGCCTCAAGTGAGGGAGGAATAAGACATGATGATAGTTTGAGGGGCAAAGAGAAGGTGTGAAATACTCATCTTTGAGATGAGATAGTAAGTAGATTATGGAAATTTAGTAGAGTACCAGGAAGTGCAAAGACCTGTTTGAAATATGGTGATATGTTTAAAGGAAGATGAGTCAAGAAAAGGATTTTAGAGAATGCTGCAGTGAGTATTTCCAGAGACCATACTAAAGAGAGGGTGTGAGAGGTATGAACTGGATCAGTTCAGAGTTTACATAGAGCTGGATAGTGAAAAAAACTCAAAGTGTGCATGATAGATGGACTGAGAATTTGGGTTTTGTAATGGGCGTTCGGCTATCCATGGACATGAGATGGGTTCGGTCCAGGGTCCACTGGCAAAGGTGGACCCTAGTCCTTTATAACCTCTCTCTGGGCCCTGCTGTCTTGGGAAGTTAGAATGTTAAGGTGCAGATGTTATGGTGGATGGGAACTGTGAATATAAGAAACACTTTGAATCATTTGACTTGCTTTAAATCCTAATAATATGGTGGAAAGAAAAGAAAAAGAGAAAATTGAAAGCCTAAGTGTTAACAGAATTCAACCAGACAATAGGACAAATGATCCCTAAACCCACCAAACTTGTTAAGAGACGATATGGCCCAGGATTTATTGATGGTATAAGTACCAGGCACTAAGTTCGATGGAGTAAAATGATGAGTAAATTACATTCTGTCCCCCTCAAACTCTCACAAACTAGTTAAGACAAATTAGGAGCAATTCACAAGTGTGTGAAATTGGTCCTCAGAGTGATATTACATACACTGAAGAATATAACAGATAACTGTGTCTCTGGGTTACTGTGGGAGTTTCTTGAAATATCACCAGGACTTAAAGAAGACAGCACCATCTCATCAATGAGATGTTGTTGTTTTGTTTTTAAAGATTCATTTATTTATGCATACAGAACTGAGGTACAGGCCAGAGGCACAGGTCTGGTGAGAGGCTTCACCCAAGACAGAGTGGGGAGCAGAACAGGCAGATTGACAAAGTACACTACTGAGGGGAGCAGCAGGTGGGTCAGGAGAGGTCTGTTGTGCCATTTCGATCACCTCCAAGGCAGGGATCAAACTCATGCTGAAGTCACTTTAGCTTCTTAGTGCTGTGCTTTAACCTGCTGCACCACCAGGCAGGGCCTGAGATGTTGTTTTTTATTAACTGTCTTAAAAACATTTCCACGCAAAATGGGCATAGAAGAATAAACACGATATTATATTATCATATTCAAGGGACACGAGCTAAGTCTGAGAAGTACTCCTGCAGTGGGCTGTCTGAGCACGGTGGGGTTTAAAACAAACCAGGGGAGAAAAGAGTGTGGTATATAAACCTGAGAAGTGAGGCATCACATGTGTTAGGAGCCAATCCAGGATAAGGAGTTGGGTGAGTACTCTCTATGTCATCTCTAAATATCCTCAATACTGTGAAAAGAATCAGTCTCCTCTCTGCCTTCAGTTTCTCTCCTTCCCCAGTTCCGTCCCTACCAAGGTTGGGTTGGCCGCTGGGGTGAACAGTGTGATAAAGGTCATAATCTGAATTGCGTGCTCTCAAGTCTTGCAAAGACTTGGTTCCTCT